AAAAAAAAAACTTCATTATTATGGGGCGATGCCTGTGGCTCAGTGAGTAGGGTACTGGCCCCATCTACCGAGGGTGGTGGGTTCAAACCCGGCCTGGCCGAACTGCAACAAAAACAGCTGGGCATTGTGGCAGGTGCCTGTAGTCCCAGCTACTTGGGAGGCTGAGGCAAGAGACTTGCCTAAGCCCAAGAATTGGAGGTTGCTGTGAGCTATGATGCCATATCACTCTACCAAGGATGACAAAGTGAGACTCTGTCTCTAAAAAAAATAAAAAAAAAACATTATTATGAGGTAGGACAGGCCAATTAAGTTCATAAACTCACCCTAGACAATGTGCTACAAGCCAGGCACAGTGGCTGACGCCTGCAATCCTACTACTGTGGGAGGCCAAGGTGGATTGCTTGAGCTCATGAGTTCAAGACCAGCCTGAGCAAAATCAAGACCCCATCTATACTGAAAAATAGAAAAACTGAGGCAAGAGGATCACTTGAGCCCAAAAGTTTGAGGTTGCTGTGAGCTATGATGCCAGGGCACTCTACCCAGGGCAACAGCTTGGAACTGTCTCAAAAAAAAAAAAAAGGAAGGAAGGGAAAGGAAGAAAGAAAATGTGCTGAATATCACTCTGGTCACCATGGAAGTCCTCCCCTTGAGAAGTATGCCCTGACCAGTGCCCAGTCCCTCCTTCAAAGCACTTGTTCTAGGATGAGTTCACAAACTTAGTTGTCAGACTTCGTATGACTATAGCTTTAGTGCCCCTAGAAAAAGAGTTCCAAAATTACTTTAGGTCTCTCTGTCACCTAGGCTGGAGTGCAGTGGTTGGATCATAGCTTACTATAGCCTCAAACACCTGGGCTCAAGCCATCCTCCCACTTTAAAACCTTTTTTTTTTTTTTTGCAGTTTTTGGCTGGGGCTGGGTTTGAACCCGCCACCTCTGGCATATGGGGCTGGTGACCTACTGCTTTGAGCCACAGGTGCTGCCCCCCACTTTAACCTTTTTAGTAGCTGGCACACACCACCATGCTCGACTGATTTTCCTTCCTCCCTCCCTTTCTTTTAGAGATGGGATTTTGCTATGTTGTTCTTTTGGCTGGTCTCAGACTTCTGACTTCAAGTGATCCTCCTGCCTTGGCCTCCCAAAGTGTTAGGATTATAGGCTTGAGCCATCATGCCTGGCCAGTTCTCTGAATTCTTATAAACATCAATAGCCATGTAACCACCACCACAGTCTAGAGATGTAAAACATTCTGTCACCCCAGAAAAGCCCCTCCCCTTCACCTCAGTCTCTGGCGGTGAGTAACAGTGTGTCGTAAGTACCAATAATGCCACTAACCTGCTTTCTGTTGACACAGTTTTGTCTTTCCCAGAATGTCACATACACGTGTATAGCCTTTGCATCTGGCTTCCTTCACTGAGCACAACGGTATTTGAGATTAATCCACTTTGTTGCATTTATTAGTGGCTTATTTGTTTCCATTGCTGAATAGCATTCCATTCCATAGTTTCTTTACCCATTCATCAATGGAAAGGCATTTGGATTGTTTGTTACCAGATAGATAGAATTAGATAGAAATCTTTTATTCTGTCCTTTAAACAACAAAAAGAAGTTTTAACATTTATCAGCTCCCAACACACATGTTCTTCCTCAAGTCATCTTGATGACTCTCAATACTAAATGTCAGCCCACTTCTGAGGTGGCTAACTGTTGAAACGTTCTTAACTGTTTTAGTTCAAAACATGAACAGCTTTTTATGTTATTAATTATGATAATTTATACTTGCAATAATAAAATACTTTTCACTTCAACATGTAATGCTCATCAGATTTTCATCTCATAATACCTATTTTTTTTTTTTTTTTTATAGAGACAGAGTCTCACTTTATCGCCCTAGGTAGAGTACTATGGCGTCACAGCTCACAGCAACCTCAAACTCTTGGGCTCAAGCAATTCTCGTGCCTCAGCCTCCCAAATAGCTGGGACTACGGGCACCCACCACAACACCCAGCTATTTTTTGTTGCAGTTGTCATGGTTGTTTTCACTGGCGCAGGCCAGGTTCCAACCCAGCACCCTTGGTGTATGTGGCTGGTGCCATAACCACAGTGCTACAGGCACTGAGACATGGAATCATGTTTTCTTTAGTTCACATGCAGCTTCTGGGAGGGTGATCTCTGAACCTGGCCGTGGACAGTGGTCTTAAAGGAGGTGTTCAGTCTACTCTGGCAGTAGAGGAAAGAGAGGGAAGCAAATGGAGAGTGTGTTGTGCCTCGCAACTTGTACAGGGCCTTCTAAGAGCAAATACCTGATCCTTCTTTCTCCCCACTCCTCTCCACATGGTCCTCTCCAAGTTGGGGTGAGGCCTAGAGAGTGAAGGAGACAATATCAGATGTCTGGAAGCTACAACCAAAAAACCAGAAAGAATAGACAACAGCCTTTTTCAAACAGTGGTGTGGAGAATTTGATCACAGTAAGATTTAAACATCCAGCAATTCCAAGAAATCATTCCTTTTAGAGGGAAAAAGCAGGGGTAATATGAAAAGTATATAGCACATTAAATGTGTTATATATTAATATGTATGATATAGCCAGATGCAGTGGCGTCTGTAGTCCCAGATACTTGGGAGGTTGAGACAGCAGGATCACTTGAGTCCAGGAGATCTAGGCTATAGTGTGCTATGCTGATCAGGTGTTCACACTAAGTTCAGCATCAATATGGTGACCCCCCCAGAGTGGGGAGCCACCAGGTTGCCTAAGGAGGGGTGAACCAGCCCAGGTCGGAAACAGAGCAGGTCAAAACTCCTGTGCTGACTGCTCAGGAGGCTGAGGCAAGAGAATCGCCTAAGTGCAGAAGTCGGACCCATTCAGTACTACGGCCTGAGAAACTGGGGGTTTCCATGGTTTGGTGGGGCTAAGTTGCTCTGTCTTATTTTCAGCTGGTCTCTGTTCTACCCTAGTAAATCAGTTACTCTGGGTTGAAGTCTCAGCTGTGGAGAAATAACAGCAATTAAGTCACCCTGCCCCCTACAGACAAGAATTGGAAAATGAAAATCACACCTTCCCACAACCACACACCCAGGGTAGCACTTTGGATAGTACTCAGTGATTGGTCCAGTCTAAGAGGTCCAAATCAATTGTCCCAGTCAGCACTGATCTCAGGTGGGGGAGTTCAAAGAGTCTCTGGCACCTAGATAGCAGGGATCTGCTGGCAGCTCAGGTATGACTGGCTCTGGTGCTACATGAGGTCAGAAGGACCAATCCAACAAATAAATTAGTCTGGGAAGGTTTCCCCAGACCCCTTCCCCACTTTGCACATTTGTCACACCGAGTCACTGGCAACGCCAATGGGATTGGGGCTGCCAAAGGAGTGTTAAAATCTCCCAACTACTATGGACCTCTAGGAGAAAAGCCAAACGGTGTAAATTAAGCATGGGGCGGAATCAGCGGATAAACTCTGGCAACATGAATAACCAGAGCAGATCAACTCCCCCAAGGAAGGACATGACAGATGCAACTGAAGACCTCATCCATAAACAGATGGCTGAGATGTCAGAAATAATGTTCAGAGTCTGGATAGCAAATAAGATCAACAGAATGGAGGAAAGGAGGGAATTAGAATTTCAAGGAACTATTCAAAAGAT